ACTTAACATGTTCTAATTTGTCAAATTGTTATTAACAAATATTAACGATCGGGTAAAATAGTAACAAGATTAAACATTAAGGGACTAAAAGAATAAAACAAAACATTAGAGGATCACTACAACAAAACAAGTATATAGCGGCGTTTATCGCGGCGTTTTCAAAGTAAACACCACTAAATTTGAATATATCGCGGCGTTTATATCAAAAACGCCACTAAATGGTAACATTAACGGCGTTATTCAAAAAACGCCTCTAAAACTCGTACTTTAGTGGCGTTTATTTGACAAACGCCGCTAAATATAAATACTTTAGTGGCGTTAACACCACCATAGAATCGTTCTTTAGTGGCAGTTTTAAACAAACGCTGCAATAGGGTAAATATATCGTGGAGTTTTTAGATAAACGTCGCTAAATCCTAGTACTTTAGTGGTTTTTTTTGACAAACATCGCTAAAACCTATTACTTTAGTGGCGTTTTTTGACAAACGCCGCTAAATACTCACACATAGTGTCGTTTTAATTTACAAACGCCGCAAGTTTAATTTTTTAAATCCCTCCCCTTTAACCCTCTATCATTTTTCCCCATTCACCCATTTTTTCATTCCCTCCGTTTACCCAAACCCATATGATTTTCGATTTTTTATCTCGTTTCAGTTCGTTATTTTTGGAACTCTAAAATCTCTTTGTATTTATTTTTTTCAATTTTGCTTCAGACAAGAATCTTATTCAAACCAGAAACCCGGTTCTGGTTTTTGTATTCATATATCTCTAATAAAACAAATGGTTTTTATCTTCGTTATTTTTGTATTCACAGATCTCTATTTGTTTCTGAAGGGATAGAGAATGGGGCTCCAAACCCGATTCTGGAGGTGCCGCCTCCGCCCAAACGGAAGCCATGGACCGCCCAAACGGAAGCCATGGACCGCCGTGAGCGGCTTCGTCGAATCGCTCTTGAAACCATAGATCTCGCCAAAGATCTCCCAAAATTTCCCTCTTTTTTCCTTACAAGAGATTTCACTTGGTTTATGCTTTTGGGTAGTTACGAGTGTAAGCTTTGTTTATAGAAGCACGTGGTGAGAAGACTTGGATATGTTTTGTGGTTGAGGTAGGATTTATGATATTTTAATCTTGTCCATCATGGGTTGCGTCGTTTTTTCTTTGCTGCTGTGTCATCCATCGGTTATGTGCCTGCCCAAAACATACCCGTTGGATGCTAACGGAACGTGTCAATGCCTCTTGATATCTATGATATTTATACATTGAATGTATTATAAGTTACATGCCCGAAACCCCAGGCATGTGCAAACTGCATTATAAGTGCCCAACGATTCAATACTTTAATCCTCTTTCAACTTTATTTCCCATTTTATAATCCAATACCCGATTATGAAAACATTGCAGGGACAGAAAAACAGAGTTATGCATAGAATGGACATCTTATGGTCACTTGTGCAGATTTTGCAATCGAAGGCTACAAGCTAGCTGCAATTGCTTGTCACCTCTTGGAATTAGTAATATTGGCTCTCACTGTAACATATTGTGAGTGGTTTGTGATTTTTAGATTGCTTTATGGTTTTTGCTTCTCGTATTTATCTTCCAGTCCCCTAAAAGAATATATGAAGTAGGGGAAAAGAAGAGAGCATCCTTGAGAAACATTTTGTGAAGAGTTTTTGCTTCTGTTCTTCATAGTTTGTGGAAATGGCATTTACCACTAGCTTTTATCCTTCCCAATTTATATCAGACATCATTAGCTGTTTGAAAGTTCTGATAATAATCCAATATTGGGTGCGTTTGCTGTATGTTTTTCTGCAGTTATTGCTTTAAACTTGATTCTCTAATTGACATGTATATTCAACATTCACCATTAAAGGAGCAACTGCACATTATAAATAGAAGATTGGATATCATAGAATGTTAGTAGCTAAATTACATCTACTTTATAATCGTGATCCTTAAAACGATGGTCATGTAGTATCAACCCACCATTTACGCATTTTAATGTGAGGAAGGCTTGAGTTTCCATCCAGACCTTTGGCCCTGAAATAGGCCAAGTATTCAATGATATGAATTCCCCTGTATATAGGCGGATTACTTCCCGACAGAAGCTCTTATTAGGGTATATGGTTTATGATTGTTTGCAGTGCTTGCATAGGGGAAAAAACATCACTAATACCCCATGTACTTGTCCCGCTAGCACCCTATGCTCCACACTCTTGAATTTGTCATTTGTGATTGAGCTAATAACAGAGAAAAGACAAACCTAGTTTATTATTCTAGACTAGGAGAAAAAGAAAAGTTCTTGTGTTTATACTTGCATATCCTGAATGAAATCACCAATGTTAATCTAAAAAACGCCTGGAAGAAACGGAACATTGACCCAGTTACATCAGGGAAGAACTTGGAAGCATCGTATGTCTTGAAGGAGGAATGGTCAGCAAAGATGGGTTCGAGTGTCTGGTTGTACCCAGAGTTAATTCTTGCTCAAGGTAATCAGGGTAGTAATGGCACACAAGCGACTCGGTTCCCATGCATCCAATGCTCGCAAGGTACACTCTGAGAAGCCCCAAATTCTTCGAAAGAAGTTCAGACAATGTTCACAAGCGTAAAGTTTCTGTTCGTAAAACATGTATGTGTCTTTCGATATCCACTTGTTCCTTTATGCAGTTCCTTTTTGTTAGTTTTAGTAAATTTTTAATAGAAACTTAGTGTCATGGACAACTTAATAGCGTGCATTAAGATTCTAACGCTGTGTGTAGTGTGTACTAGTAGCGGTTGAAGGTGCTAGTTATGTTGCAGGTGCAATGGCAATTTGAAACTAATAAACAATATTTTGGTTTTCCTCCATGTCTTTTTAGATTTATAATACACGATTTTTTGAGAATTGACCCTTAAAGCGGAAGTTCCATTAATATAAAAGTAAAAAAAGGAATGTAGAGACTTGTTTGATAATTAGAATATACAGCTCTCCCAGCTTAATTTTTCATTTTTGGTAAAAGAATGCTCCATGACTTTGCTTGTCCTCAGTTTTCCTAGTGTTCTAGTCCTCCTTTGGGATGATGTGTATAAGTAATCATTAAGTAATTTTGTAGGATGCATCAAGGGTGATGAGGTTGATGGTGTTCCTGGGATTCAACATTTGGTTCCTGGTTTTGGTCGGAGAACTGCCTTAAAGCTTTTGAAGAAGCATGGCTCACTAGAAAACTTACTAAATTCAGCATCATTGAGAACTGTTGGAAAACAGTATGCACAAGAGGCACCGTATTTGCTTATGGCGTGACAAGCAGTTTAATTTGTATTTTCTGCGAAGAAATTATGAAGTTCTAGCCTTAAGGAGGTAACATATTTCCTTCTTTGAGCACCATGATTTCTTGTTCAAAGACCAAAGTCTCCTTATGCCGTTTAATTTGTATTTTCTCAAAACTTGTTCTTTTACCTTACAGTGTTAAATTTTGTTTACAGGCACCATATTTGCTTATGGCGTGACAAGTAGTGGGAAGACTCAAACGAAGGAGCAATGAAGACTAAATTCTAGTGAATAATATTTTTTTAATTGAAAGTGAAAGTACCTAGACTAAATTCTAGAGAACAATGTCGAACTACATTACATTTAATTTTAATGTTTATAAATTTTAATTTATTTTATTGTTTAAATTTATGGTTGATGTTAATTAAATAAAGCTACATGATATTAAATTTAGGTGATGTAGAGAAGAAATTAAATATGCAAAATATAAATTAATCTTAGAACAAGAACGGTAATTAGCGGCGGTTTCAAAACGCCGCTATAGATCCGACATTTTACTGCGTTTGTGGGAAAAATGCCGCTAAACATCATCACCTTCTGCGGCGTTTGTGGGAAAAACGCCGCAAAATATCAAAACCTTCTGCGGCGTTTGTAAGTAAAATGCCGCTAAATCTCAACACCTACCGCGACGCTTGTAGGGAAAACGCCGCTAAACATTAACACCTATTGCGGCATTTTTCTGACAAACGCCGCTAAATAACAAACCCTATTACAACATTTGTTCAACAAACGCCGTTATATGTTGTAACCTATTGCGGCATTTTTTTGTTAGAAAACGCTGCTAACTTTAGCGGCGCTATTTTCAGCGGTGCTTTTTGCGGCGTTTATCATAACGCCGCATGTGTTATTAGCGGCGCTTAAAAACGCCGTTATAGGTAAAAAAAAACATGTTTTGTTGTAGTGATAACTGGGTAAATTAGTATAATTTAAAGGGCAAATTGTTCATTAAACATATGAGCTATTATGTAAGTTTTAAAATATTTTGTTATAATATAAACAAGAATTGATATAAATTCAAATTTGAAATTAATAAATAAATAAATAAAATAATAAAACTTTATAGTGAATAAATATATATTCCTTCCTTTTATTTAAATTTTATTATGTGAACAACTAACAAAATATACCCTTACCAAACATTGTAAATTCAAAAAGGAGGTCTTCCATTGGAGAAAGGGAAATCCATAATAAGCAAAACAATAATAATAATAAGAATTAATCAGCTACGACTCAAATTAAGAAGAAAAAAAATCAAAATATACATTTTTTCTAACTAAATTAATTACAATCCATATGGAAAGCACATAGTCAAATATCATTTATATTTACATATACATAAAATATAAATAATGGGAAGTGATCTAGGAATGGGGAATTACCGAATGTGGAACATCAGGAGCTGCTACTTAGCCTAAATATAATTCCCTAAACTCTAGTTATTATTTTATTAGTATGAAATGAATATAAGATAATATATGTTTGAAATACTCTTAACTTTTTGATAATGAATAATCATACATTTACATCGACGTTGTGTTCAAATATGAAATCTTAAAGAATAATAGCAATCTCTTAATCAAAGAGATCACTTAGTTGGTGATTTCCTAAACCCCACTTAAAAACTATATTCTTCACAAACCTTATAAATAAATGCATTCCTTTACTTGTTACCACAACTTAACACAAACAAAACACAATGTCGATTTTGATTCTGCTTGTGCTTTCTCTTGTTAGCTTCAACTCTGCCTTAACATCAACAACCTCGGATTCTGTCTATCAAACTCTTCTCCGATGCTTGAACGAATACAACCCGTCTCACAACGCTTCCGCCATTGTCTTCTCCAAATCCAATCCGTCCTACACATCCGTTTTGCGGGCTTATATGCGTAACGCTCGTTTCAGAACCTCTTCGACGCCTAAACCGGCTATTATCATCACTCCTTTGGAGGAATCCCACGTTTCCGCCGCTGTAATCTGTTGCCAAATGGTTGGTTTCCACCTCAAAGTCCGTGGCGGCGGCCACGACTATGAAGGCTTATCTTATGTTTCCAACGAGCCCTTTTTCATTCTCGACATGTTTAATCTGCGTTCTGTATCTATTGACATCGAAAATGAATCGGCCTGGGTTCAGGCCGGCGCAACACTCGGTGAACTTTACTATAACATTTGGAAAAGGAGCAATGTCCATGGATTTTCCGGTGGGGTCTGTCCCACTGTCGGCGTTGCTGGCCATATTAGCGGTGCCGGTTTTGGCAACTTGCTAAGGAAATATGGTGTGTCTTCGGATCTAGTTGTGGATGCCAAAATAGTTGATGTTGACGGAAAGATACTTGACAGAAAAGCCATGAGAGAAGATCTTTTCTGGGCCATAAGAGGCGGTGGAGCAGCAAGTTTTGGTGTGGTTTTAGCTTACAAGGTTAAGCTAGTTCTTGTGCCCGAGACTGTCACCGTTTTCAAAGTAGAAAGATTTCTAAAAGATAACGCCACTGATATCGCTTTAAAGTGGCAGTCCATTGCTCCGACGACGGATAAGAATCTGTTCATGAGGATGATTTTGCAACCCTCTACTTTAAACAATCGAACAACGCTTAGAGTAAAAATCAAGGCTTTGTATTTGGGTGATGCCAATAGCGTTGTCGCCATGTTAGGCAAGGAATTCCCGGAATTGAAGCTAACGAAAGAGCAGTGTATCGAAATGAGGTGGATCGACTCGGTTCTTTGGTGGGCAAATCTCGACGTGAGAACATCGCCTACCAAGTTGCTGGACCGAGAAATCGGTCGCACTGGTTTCCTTAAGATGAAATCAGATTATGTAGAGACTCCAATTCCCAGAGATGGATTGGAGCTGCTATGGAAAAAGATCATTGAACTGGGACATGTTGGAATGAGTTGCCAGCCGTACGGCGGGATAATGAACGAAATCAAGGCGACAGACACCGCATTCCCACACCGCGCAGGGAATTTGTATAAGATACAGTATGCAGTGAACTGGGACGTACCCGGAGACGAAGATGAGTGGGACGAACCCAGAAAAGAAGCGGACATGGATTACACGAGCCGAGCGAATAGGCTTCACAAGTTCATGACTCAGTTGGTGTCGAAGAATCCGAGGAGGGCTTATTTGAGTTACAGAGACATGGACATCGGAACCACTAAACATTGGAGCTATGAAGAGGGCAAAGTGTATGGGAAGAGTTATTTTAATGGAAATTATGAGAGACTGGTGGATGTGAAGACGGCCGTCGATCCAAAGAATTTCTTCAGGAATGAACAAAGCGTCCCTCCCCGCTCAACTAAGTAAGACATTATTAACACATACATCATCAAGATGGTTATTTATACATATATTATTAAGATGGTTAGAAATCACCGAAGAAATCAGACGCGAATAAGAGAGGAAAAGAGGGAATAGGGTGAAAAGCATTATAAATCTTGCCAAGTACCATAATAAGACTTTATTTATCAAATTAAAATGATTTTTTAATTATTAATAATATATATACTTTATAAATATAACTACTCTAAACAAAATACTTTAAAGAGAACAACTTTTTATGTTCAAAATTATCAATGAGTTTTAAAATTAAATAATTAAGTAAACTTTTCTGGTAAAGAATAATAATTCTAAAAGCTGAAGATTTGGAGGCAATGTGTTAAAAAAAACTATTGTTTTAAAAGATTAATATTTATTTGTATAATTTTAAAAATATTAAAATTAAATTTAGAATTTGTGTGTTTTTTTTATAATTTCAAATTTTAGTCTGAATGTCAAAGGAGGGAAAGGGGAAAAATAAAAAATGAAATCCCTCCGGTGGAATTTGGAGTTTATGTGCACATTCCACGTGAGCAATCCAACCAGGGATGAGACCTTAATCCGACGGCTTAAATCAGTTAAATTACACATGTCACCTTATCCATATACTACATACGCACCATTTTCAATCTCTAACCAATAAAATCAAAAGACACGGATTCCTAATATCTACCGTCAACAATGTTCCAATCTAACGGCAAATATTATTCTCTCTCATTGCAAACCCCGAGAAATACACTCGTTGGACCCTCCCTATTTAAACCCTGCCACATACGCCGTCTCAAACAAACAAAATCTCACAAAAAAAAAAAAAATTTCGATATTCGAATTTTCCTCCAAATCTTTCACGAGAAAATGTCGGGACGTGGAAAGGGAGGCAAGGGATTGGGAAAGGGTGGAGCAAAGAGGCACCGGAAAGTTCTCCGGGATAACATTCAAGGCATTACCAAGCCGGCGATCAGAAGGTTGGCTCGTAGAGGTGGCGTGAAGAGAATCAGTGGATTGATCTACGAGGAGACGCGCGGTGTTCTCAAGATCTTTCTGGAGAACGTGATACGCGATGCAGTTACTTATACGGAGCACGCTAGGCGGAAGACTGTCACGGCCATGGATGTGGTTTACGCTCTGAAGAGACAGGGCAGGACTCTTTACGGTTTCGGTGGTTAGGATGAACTTCCGGATTTATTGACGGGGTTCTGTGAATCTCTCGCAACATTTTGTTTTTGTAGATGTTCTTATGTTTCACTATCACTCTATCAGGAATGTATTTGGGCTTTTATCTTCAATGAAGTTTGGTCTCAAAATTGCATGGGAAAATCTCATTTGATATCTCAAATTTTCCCAAGTAATGTTTCTGATTTTATAATTTAATTATAATTAAGGGATCTGTTTAAAATTGGTTGAATAAATCTGAGGTAAAGTTCACAAATGGTTTTGACAAGTGTTTAAATAGTGTTTGCAATTATGTTTTTTTTTGTTGTATTGTGTTTATTGCGATTGTAAATATAATATATGTTATTGTGGTTGTAATATTTTTTAAATTTTGCACATTTTTTTCTAAAATATAATAAAAATGATTGTGATTTTAAGGAATAATTTTTAATGATTTATATAATGTTTTATAAGTGAAAATGATATATATATATATATAAACAATAGTTTAATTAAATAAAAACTTTAAAAATCTAATGATAGAATAAGATAATTAATTAATTATAATATTATGAATATATTATTATTTAAAAGAAATAAGAATATTAACATAGGAAAAAATTTAAGAAATTAAAATAGATAAAAATAAATTTTTGTATAACTATGAAATAATAAATTCTTTACTATTTTATCAAAGAGTTATTATTCATTGAAAAACCTAAGAATAATGTATATATATATATTAACAATATATTATCTCAAATGTAAGTAAAAAAATAAAACATACCTCATGCAATAATTAAAACAAGAAAACAATATTTATTAAAGCAAGAATATAAAAATACAATGTACAATACTTAAAACAACACATATCTCATGTAATTTAATTATATTAAGATGTTTAAAAATCTTCATTTTGGATGTTTATCTTTTAATCTAAAACCAATCAAACAAAATAAATTAAAATCCAAAAAAATGCTAACTAATTAAATGTCATAGAAAAATATATTCTTTTGGTAGGAAAAACATACCTTAAAAATAGGGTGGTAGTTGTTTCACCAATTAATGGAATGACGAGAAAGATCATATCTTTCACCTTCATTTTGAGAGTGATCACCACTTAATTTATGTGGTATTTTTCCAAAAATATATCAAAAAAATATAACATTTCATCTTAAGTTTCAAATAATTGAGATATAAAATATATTTGAGGAGGAGAATACATATGGAGTGGTGGGTGATACATTAGTGGCGGATGGTACATTTGAGGCTAATATGACACACTATAATTAGGAAATGGTGGATAATAACTATATGAATGTTGAAAATATAAGGATTGTCTTAGTGGATAAAAACCATGAGTGCTAGTAGATGAATCACTATACTCGCCGTTACTAGACGTCGATCTTCTACCGGAAGAAGAATCTTCAGAAGTATATTTTCTGGTGTCAAAAATTTATATTATTGAAATGAGGACTAAATTAAATAAAAATAAAAGTTTACATTTTAAACTAATGATTAAATTATAAATTCTAAAAGGTGAGAGGGATGTCAAATTAATACATCCTTAAAAATTATATTTTAAAAATTATTTAAAAAATAAAAAAAAAACTCATCTCTTCAATTAATTTTAAAAATTATTTAAAAAAAATAAAAAAAATCATCTCTAATTTGAAGTAAAAGACCGCCCATAGCCTACAATATTCTATTAAATTATGATTTAATGATTTAAAATTAAAATTAATTTTTCAACTTCCCCCATACCCAAACCCACTCCCACGCAAAAGCTTTCTCAACTCTCCCTACCCCACGGTAAAGCTCTCTCAAGTCTCAACTCCCCATCCCCATCCCCATCCCCCATCCCTCAACCTTTTCATATTTTTTTTTTAAATCTTTCAAGTTTCATCTTTGCAAAATTAGATTTTAGGAGTAAGGATTTTTTTTAATTTTACCTTCTCAAATAGAAGCCCGTCGACCGTCATTACTGCTCAACACCAACAGAGAAGCTACACAGACGTATGCAACAATAAGATTTCCCTCAAATCACCTTTGTCTTCCCGATTTGATCTTTGGTGAGTCTTGTTTGATATGTTTTTTTTAGAGTTTAAGAGATATTTGCATTTTTCAAATTTTGTTGATGGAATGTGAGTTTCAACTTTAGATTGACATTTATTTTGTACTTTTGTACGATTTTAACCGATTTGATTGAGTTTTTACCATTTTTTAATTATTTTTACTATTTTTTAACTTTTAAAAGGAATATATTCCTTTGATTAAGCTTTTTGATTTTTTTATTATTTTTGTTTCACAGTAATGATAGATAATGGTAATAACGTTTTGTTATCAGTGTTATTCACCGTTATCCGTTAGATTACGGATGCGACAGACTGATTTTGGCGTGAATTTACTACCCACAGTTATTTTCTTGGATTTCGGTTTCGAACGACGGCGCTACCGCGAATAACGGACGCTATTGCGTTTTCGTCATGCTATTTGAATCCCCAGACTTGACTATAAGCTTGTTTTTGTTGAGTTCTTAATATTAGAAGTTATAAAATAATTTTTAATTACAAGATGTTATTTTGATTAAATAATATTGTTTTGTATAGTCATTTAATTATTAAAAATTATGAAATAATTATAATTGATGGTTGTTTAAATTGAATGTTAATCTATTAATTCAAATATGATAAAATTTAATTTTAGAATTATTAAAGTTATATTTTATTTATTTTTTGTTTACATTATATGTTGAACTAATGTTTGAAATATTATATTTTCGTATTAGTATTTTAAAGCAATGATGATGTCAATGTTAACATTAAAATACAACTTTTTCATAATTTAATTAATAGGTTAACGTTCTGTTCATACGATCATTAAATTTTTATGGGAAATAATGAATTTAAAACCTCTAAATAATCAAGTAATTATTTTATAATATTTTATTATGGAGAGATTTAATAAAATAATACTCTATAATTTGGAAATAATTTTATAATTTTCTTTAATAATTAAAGAACTTATAAATCAATAGGGAAGAACTCATAAGTCAACGTACTATAATCAAAGCTCTATTTGTGTTTTACCCTTAAATCTGATGCAACCCGTTATACTATTTTTCTCAGCATTCATTGTTGAATTTGGATAAAAATATACAGGCTAGCCCATCTCAAAGGAGAACCGTCTAAAACTCTAAGCCCATATGCGTATTAATTCTGCATTCCGTTGTGCAACTTGGGTTGGTGTTTTTGAATGGTATACTCATATTTTGGAAGGGTAAACTACATGTTTTGTGTCCAACTATCACTTTTGTTCTATTTTGGTCATTTAACTATCTTTTGTTTCAAAATCATACATAATATTTAGTTTTGATTTCATTTCAATCATCCATTGTTAAAAATTAATGTTGATGTTGATGTTGATGTATTACCATAAGATAATACCATGTCATCATTGGAAAAAAATAAAAAAAGTCATTGTCAACAGTGATACTAATGTTTTAACAGTGGATGATCAAAATGAAACTAAAGCAAAATATTAAGTATGATTTAAAAATAAAAAATAGTTATATGACCAAAATAGAATGAAAGTTATAGTTAAGGTACTAAATATATACTTTACCCATTTACAACAATCCTATAAAAAAAAATCGAAGTTCAATGTAATCGCTTTCTTCTAAACCAATAATAGAATGAGAACAAAATCAGAGATAATGAAATAAATACCCACAAAATGAGAGCAAATATATTTGACCAAGCTGTTCAATGAAATCACTATCTTTATTTTCTCTAGAGTTTTATTTCTTCTTCCGTTCAAGTAAAATTAAGATTAGATTTAAAATTTTATAAAAAAATTACAAAAGAATAAAAAAAAGGAGGAGGATTTGCCTATAATTTTCTAAATTCAGAGTTTGGGTTATTATTTTGTAGATAAGAACGATCACAATCAACGAAAGATGAGTGGAAGGTTAAATCAAATTTTGGTTCTCATCGGAGAGGGTGGACTGAAGAGACTAGAGTGAAAAGAGCCACAGTATTCAAGTGAAGATGTCATGATTTGGGAGATGTGGTCAAGATTGTTAAGGTAAGTGCTTTGCATATTAGGATATTAGCATGTTGTTAAAGATTGAGTTCTGGTAGAGAAATGGTTAGGTTTGTTAGACCGTTATAACTCCTCCAATACTCAATATTACCTTTGTAAATGGAGCTGGTTCTCCGTTGACAATATTACACTTTATCAATAACTCTCAGAGAGTATTGCCTCTCTTTTACCCATTGTTTCTGTTATTTGCATAGAATATTTACTGCTATATCTTGAATCTTCACATGGTATCAGTCGCCAAACAGAAAAAAAATCTTGCTTCCGCTGGTGTTTTCTTTCTTGAAATTCTTTCGCAACTGTTACGATTGCAGAACAAATTGTGAGTTTCAGAGCTTCGAATCACAAGTTGATGTGTTGGTCATCAGTATTCTACCTTCAGTTGATTTGAATCAAGGTTAGATAATGACGTAGTGAGCAATTGTGGTAAGAGTCTTTGTTCTCTAATTTGTTTCTGTGTCAATTCATAGATCCCCTATGAATCAAGGATTACCTGTTGTGTTTGTTTGATCGTAAGGCTGTCTTTGCTCGTAATGACTCATGGTTTAGTGATCCGTTTGTGGTGTCATTTGATCTACAGTTGAATCTCCTCGATTTTTTTTTCGTTGAGATGTTGTGACAGTTTGTTTGAGCTCTCTGTTATTTTGAAGAAACTTTGTTCATTTTTGCCTTCTATCTGTTTGTTGATTTGTCTCTCTGACTGTGTTTAGTCTTTTTGTCTCTTCATGGCGCAACATTTTCCTGTTCAGCATTTTCCAAAGCATGATACCGTAAAGCTTTTTGAGCAAACTTATATGTTGTGGAAACATCAAATTTATTTGATTATTGATGGGTATGGGTTAATGAAATATATTTATGATGATTTGAACGTCGATCCACCTTTTTCTATGATAGATTTGAAATGTCGATCTACCTCCTGATAGGATGGATTTGAATGTCGATTATGATCTATCTCATTCTGCGATAGAATCAAGCAAAAATTTGAACAATTTCTTTTCATTATGAACTTTCTCATAACTGGTTTATCTTATCT